CAATGGTCTCGGACGTACACTTCAAAGTGAAGTTACCTTGAATACGCTGACCCCGCTGGCTGTGATCAATGTCGACGCTAGAAAGAGATACCGCTTCCGCCTCGTTGGCATATCCTGTGATGCCCCCTTCAATTTTACGATCCACGATCATACTATGACCATTATCGAAGCCGACGGTGAAAACACGGAACGCCTTGTTGTCGATTCTCTCTATGTCTATGCTGGGCAACGCTACTCTGTCATTGTTACAGCTGATCAACCCGTCAATAACTACTGGATTCGTGCCGATCCTATGCCGACTCGAGGTACTGCCGGCTTTGACAACGGACGCAATTCCGCTATCTTGCGCTACACTGGAGCCAAAGACGAGGAGCCAACCACCAATGGTATATCGACACGCCCCCTTAATGAGGATGATCTCCGTGCCCTTCAGAAGCAGCCACTTATAGGCCAACCAGAGGTCGGCGGGGCGGACATTGTCATTCCGATCGTACAAACTTGGCACGAAGAAAAGCAGGTTTTCGATGTCAATGGAGTCACCTACGAGTCACCTAGTGTTCCTGTTCTTCTCCAAATTCTGAGCCACAAGTTTGATGCGCATGACTTGATGCCGAATGGTAGTGTGTATACGTTGAAGCCCAATTCTACAGTCGAGTTACAGATCCACGGCGTCGATAGAGGTGGACCTGTTAGTATACATACCATTTGATTTCACACTCAATGAACTGACATTTCCCCGTTGCCCAGCATCCATGGCATTTACATGGTGTACGATTCAGTATAGCATGCTTCGACTTTCGCTGACCCTGCATGCAGCACGCCTTCTGGGTTATTAAAAACGCTCTCAGCGACGAGTATAACTGGGTCGATCCTCCCCGTCGGGATACCATCCCAACTGGATTTTTTGGTAACGTTACAATCGTTCGCTTCTTCACGGACAATGCTGGTCCTTGGTTCCTCCATTGGTGAGTATAACTTGATAGGCCACTGATGATGGATCTAACACTTGATACTAGCCACATCGACTGGCACATTGAATTGTAAGCTCCCAATTCCAGAGGAACTTGTACATTGCTAATCGGGTGTTAGGGGCCTGGCAATAATCTTTGCGGAAGATCCTGAGGGCACAGCTGCACATAACAGGCCAATTCCTCGTAAGTAGCCCTCTACCATCCCATTTATTTAATTGGCATAATGACATGGACTTCAGCGGCGTTCAACGAACTTTGTCCGCTTTACAACAAGTTCAATCCCGACGAGGCGATTCTGAATATCACCGAAACCCATCCCATCAATTTCTGAGTGCTATGATTTCTCAAGTTTGAGTGTAGCACTGTAGCGAATGATCGTAGGGTTTCTGTTCATCGAGAGAATCCTTGTATAACGAAATTACGAATGGTTGTACTACTTGTGATTTGTACGTGTTGTTGCCACGTTGAGCTAGTCTGACGCGTCGGGTCGTTTACAACCATCCTATCCCATTTGCGTGGTGTTCGATGCATTTCGATAACACCCTGACTCCTCTAAATCAACTATAGACCATCACCCCCCCTCCGACTCGATGTGATCTCATCTTATCCGCTTTTGTCTTGACACCGACGGTGACCACTGACATACCACTGAAAAAAGAGAGGCGAGGTTGTTGGGCTTGTGTGTTTTTGCTACTAGGTTCTGGCCGTTCGTCATCCAAGAGCAGATACCTTGAGGATTTACTGAGTTGAAGTTGCAAAGCAAAGTGCAAGCAGCCTCTAGTCTTGATTCGTCAAGTGCCTCTTATTGCTTAGCTTTTGAAACCCAGAGTTGGGTCGTCGATGCTTAGCCGACCGGTTCTGTCAGCACCGTCCCTTGCCGGTCCCGTCGACGCCCGTCGCGCCGCGTGATCAAATGTGTTCTCTACGGAACCGCGACATCGGTGATAAAGCCACGGATAAATATCTAGCGATTATAAATATCTCGATGTGCTTATAAAACCCCTCTTGCTTTCGAATTGTAAAACCCCACCACCCACTTGATCAACAGCGAAAGTTACCCCCATGTCTTCCACCACTTCCCCTAAAATCGAGTACCGCCAGCTTGGAAAATCTGGTCTGAGAGTGTCCGTCCCGATCGTACGTTACCCAGCACTTCATCTTTGCATATTCAACTGAGATCTTAGCCTTAGATCGGTGCTATGAGCTTTGGCTCGGCCCAGTGGGGTGTAAGTGCATCGCAACTTGCTTTTGTAGGATCTGACCAAAGTCCATCATCTCGAAGGAATGGGTGATCGAAGAAGAAGCGGCAATCCAGGTCCTCCAGGCTGCTTGGGACATGGGGATCACCACCATCGACACCGCGAATGTCTACTCTAACGGCGAGTCGGAGCGCATCATTGGGAAATGGATCAAGCAGGTAATACTTATACCACATCATTCTAAATCACCCAATTAACTGTTTTACAGAACGACATCCCCCGTGAACGTTTAGTCATCGCAACCAAGTGTTTTGCCCTAGTTGGTCACGAAATCGGCTTGCGTACCTTCCTTTCCCCTGGCTTAAAGGACCAGCGCGACTATGTCAACCAGAGTGGCCTCTCCCGCGCCGCGATCTTCAACGCCGTGGACGCCTCCCTTCAACGCCTCAACCTCACCTACATTGACCTCCTCCAAATCCACCGCTTTGATCCCGACACCCCGATCGAGGAGACTATGAAGGCACTGCATGACCTCGTGGAGAGCGGGAAGGTCAGGTATATTGGTGCGAGCAGCATGCGCGCGTGGCAGTTTGCAATGATGAACGAGGTCGCGGAGAAGCGGGGTTGGACGAAGTTCGTCAGCATGCAGAGCGAGTATTCGCTGCTCTATCGCGAGGAGGTACGTACCCCTGCCATTTCGCCGATATCCCATCTAACCGGCACGACCCAGGAACGTGAAATGAACGCATATTGCAACTACAACGGGATCGGGCTTATCCCCTGGGCTCCCCTCGCATCGGGTTCTCTCGCCCGCCCTCTCGACGCCACCAGCGTCCGAAACGATGCTGCCAAGGGCACACCCTTCCACAAAGAGTTTTCTCCCGCAGACACGGCGATCATCACCCGCGTCGAGGAGCTCGCTAAGAAAATGGGTGTCAAGATGGGACAGGTGGCGCTTGCATGGTCTGCTACAAAAGTGTCCAGCCCTATCGTTGGCATCAGCTCAGTACAACGCCTCGTGGAGGCCGTGACCACGGGTATCACGCTTTCGGAGGAGGATATCAAGTATCTTGAGGAGCCGTCTGTGTTTTCGTTTTTCAAGCCACACCTAGTTCTGACGTTTTCCTAGGTACCAACCCAAGCCTGTTCGAGGACATGCTTAAGGTGCCGCGTTTAGATGAATCGCGCTTGGGTGGAAAGCTCACTCTTGCTTTCCATACGTTGATTATCTTGTATTCGTATGTTTGATTTCTGTTTGACCATTTTAAGCGTAATCTTGGACGATACGGAGAATTTAACGGGCAAGCTGCACCTCTCAAGTTCAAGTAATGCCTTTCTTTCGCCACCTTTATGCACAGTCCCCCTCCATCAAATAATTTGGAACAGTGATATGTGCGGCAAGTTGTCGATACCAAAACCACGCCAAAACGAGTAAACACCTGAATGCAGAGTCAATGTTACTATGTTACAATATTGATATCCACCTCCGCTATTGATGCATGTATTAAAAGGATGTCTCGATAGACCTAAATAATATTGAACTAAGTAATGATGCATGTAGAAGGGAGTAGGGTAGGATCAAAACCTCAGAGAGGAAAGCCTGCAATACACAACCTATAGCTGCAACAAACTATACATAAAGATAGTCATCCCGTCACGGTTGGTGGAGGTCGTCCATGCGAAACGCGTCGGATCCCGTAGCTGTGATATCATCAAAGTCACTCAGGTCATCATTAGAGTCAGGCTAGGTTTTGAAAACAGAGACGACGTTGGAGGCAGATCTCCTAACGCTGTCAGAGAATCTCGATCAGCCTTGACTCGTGTGTGAGCTTTTAGGTCTCCTTTCCCAAAAATTTGACCGCTTACCTTGATTCTCAGCTGTTTAATACAAGAACGGCCACTACGAGAGGGCAAGGGAACATGGCGCTGATTGAGGTGAGCAGGGCTGGTTTGTAATTCAAGGAGGATACTATAAGGTAGGAATAGGCTTCGTCAAAACAAGAAAGCGCAGATCCATCGACGACGTAGATATGTCCGTTCCATTTTGTTTGTGTCTGTACATCGTCTTATGCATGGCGATGAGGAACACTGACCAAGAGCCACTAGCGCTCGAGTTCTGATTCCTCTGAAACTGCAGAGCAACGTCCACGGTGCACGATTGATATGCACAGCTGTAAAAGCCCCTGAAAAATGAGGTACGGGTGATCTAACCTGTGAGACTTTATCGTAGTAGTTCGAGAGGCGTAGCCAAATCCGGGATTCCTTCTGTGAATCTCCCAAGGGCAGTGATTACTGAAGTTCAACCCTCCGCAAGCAGTAAAAAATTCTTACGGTGAGATGGCTAGCTCCGGGTGTGTGTTGGGCTGTTAGGGCCAAACGAGGATTTTGAGAATAACGAGGCATCGGAGAGCGTATGGGCGAGAGGGGTGGGATGGATCATGAAGTTCACCAAGATTGTTGTATCGCGTGCATGACTCATAAGCGGCAATGTTACGTAGATCAAAATAGAGAAGTATCGGGTAGGGGGTGGCGGATATTAAGAGAATCTCATTTTGTCGGCAGCAGACACTGGTTTCCTACAGGAATCATGGTTACGAGAAGGCACGTGGTTGAAGCAAGGAGGTAGATGGCAAATTTCGATGATCAAAATAGATATCTGAATAGCACGCCGAGTAAATGGGGCGTGGTCAGTGGCCCAGTGGCGCAAATGAGTGCTGCGGAAGAAAGAAATGCCGATCAACAACTTCAGTCGGCGCAAATGAATCAAAAACATTTGATGGCACGAGTGGGAAGAGTACCACGGCCTATATTTGGCACATCGCAAAAAGCATGCCCACTAACCGGATTGAACGATTGACCTCACCATCGCCCGTCACAGGTGATCCTGTGACATTACGAGTGGCGCGCTCTACCACTGAGCTAAACGGGCTGTTGTTTAGCATATATCTACTGTAGGTATGGATGTTATGTTAGGAGGATGGTTTACTCTCAGGCTTTTCTTTGCAAGCTGACAGAAACCGTCTCATTGACTCTTCCTAGGGAACTACAAAGGAAGCACTTTTGACCCAACGGAATCCAGATTTCAGATACTAGTGGTATCGGAAGGACAGCTTGGGGGGCATCAGTCGTCGCTTTGAAACTTTACATGATATGATCCAATGACGAGGTTGTCGTCCAAGTGCCGAGTGTGAGAACCTTGAATTGGTCCTATGTATTGCATAAGTCCATGCATAGTGCTGACTCAATGCCATGGAGTAAAACGTGGGTAGGTTTTCGAGGGTCGCTTACATATCATCTTTGTGTCCTATGTCATTGTCAGTGAGGATGGGTCTCAAAATCAGCGTGTAATATCACCACGGGATATCTGTACACCTCGTCGGAGATGCAGATTCCGTAAATCTCGGGCCCAAAATGATAGATGTTCAGGCGACGTTGGGACGACAAAGGCAGTCGCGTGGCCAGGTAGCCGGAGATAAGGAGCGACCGCTGGGGATTAACGGGGAAGGGAATGGAATCCAGATCGAAAATGTCCGTCTGTTTACTCTGCTAGAAAAAAAAAACGTCCGAGTCGAGCACGGTGCTACTGAGAATAGCTACACTACGTTATGATGTGAGCACCGGACTAGAAATACATTTGTCTAAAATTACATTATACTGTACATAGTCCTTCTCGTAGTACTACGATATAAAAACCTTTCTGAGCGCAGACATTTCACAGGTCATTCCAGATCGGGGGCAAGTAACTAGCCCACCATTCTTCGCCGCCATCTCGTCGAGTGCCTATGGTGAAATACACGTTAATATTTTTTTTGAGACGATAGAGAGGGGGAAATACTTCTTTGGAATACACGTTGCCATCGGCAAATGCCATGGGAGGATTGTCCTCGTCCATAATCTTGCCGCTTATGCGACATACGATAGTCGAATTCGCATGATGGCTATACGGAACCTCCTGGGCGAGCTGACCCATCCCCAATCCCTGTGCGCTGGAACCTGTCTTTCCGTCGCAAACAGGGCAATCTACGTTCTTGGTTACCGGGTCATAACACACGGGCAATTTAAGCGACGCCAGACCAGCGTATAACGCCAGGTGTAGCAAGGGCTCGGTGGGAAGGGTATTGAGAGAGTAGATTGCCGTACGGAAAGTGTGGACAAGATTCTGCCATCGGGAAGGATCATATAGCCGCTGTGGGGGCGAAGAGGCCGTCATTATCTGGTCGCTATGGCCCGGAGAGAAGTACACACTTTGTATGGAGCGCACGTCGTGTTTGAAGGAAATGCCAAAAGTGCGGAGGCGGTGCGGATCTGTTGCAGGTGAGTTTCTTGCCAGGCAACTAGGTACTTCTGTGTATAGGCGATAGCCTCTTGGGCTTTACGGGCCCGCGATAACTCTATGAATTCTTGTAATCGTAAATCGAACTCAAGAGGGCTCTATGACAAGTGATCAGTCTATGACAATTGGGGGGTCGGCCATCGACAGCACCTTTATCTTGCGAAGCGCGATCTTGTTCTCGTTGCACCACGCCAAAGCTTCCGTACAGCTATTTCTTGACAGAGCATGTTCTATTCGGCGAATGTCCGTAAAGAGGTCGATGTCTACAAGAGTCTGTGGCAGTCGCGTGATTTACCTATCCAAGATCCCGGAACTGATGCTAGACTTACCTCAATGTTCTTTTCCTGTGCTATCCTCCTCGCAGTTTTCTCCATTCCTGACCTAAGGCACCAATCCACAAGCCACCGATCTAACCTCGTATCAGCCCAGGTTCCGTACTCAGAGCCGCCGGTAGCAGCCACAGCATCAATCAACGTCAGATGATGCATACGCTCCCGCATGACGTCCTGAGTCGGCTTTCCTGCGGTATCCTGGAGATCAGAGAGCTGACCACCAAAGGGTAAGTCTGGGTTTGGGTATTGTGCGGACAGGACAGTAGTACCTTGCGTTTCAGGCTCTCCACCCTTCCAATCATCCCCTCTATAGAATTTAAGGCTTCGTCCTTTCCAAGTGTGCCATTCGTTCCACGTTTCGTAAGTTCTGCTGAGCTGGTTTGAACTGCCCCAATATCCCGTTCAACATTCTTCTGAGAAGTACGGAAGACCTTCCGGTAGTTCTCATAGGGAACCTGAAATAGAACATCTCAATAGGTCGTGAGAGGCTCACACACAAGCTTTGCGGACGTACGCGAGCAAAAGGCTGCTCAAAGAGCAGGACTCCTTCGAGATTCAATTTAGTAGCCATGATGTTTTACTGAAGCGACGTTCCAGCAGCAATGAAAGGCCAGAATGCTTAGCGAAATGAGGAAAGTATCGTGGCTGACCTCTCCGGGCGTCGACCCACTATCCTCCTTGTCTGTGTCAAAGAAGTTGCTGGTAAGGTGTAAAGGTGGCGCCAAGGGGGGGGTCGGTCATCTATAAAATAATCACGTGGAACGGCAACCAAACCCTCGACGTCGATCGGCAAACTCATTTCCTTTCCTTCTTTCAAGCTTTGCGCCCTGGACCTGCTCTTGACTACATACCCAACGTCGCGGAGATAATACCCCATGGTACTCTCTTTTCATCATCGCAATTCAGCAAATAAACCCTCCATTGCGGGAAAGACGCGGCCTTTATCACCGACGGTGACCTGGTCAGAACTTCCGTTTTGGCAGAGAGACAATGAATACATTTTGTCTGGCTATAGGCGGTGAGAAAAGTGTCTCCCATGCTCAGTGTGCTTCCAACGTGCTTTCCTAGGGTCCAGAATCATTGGCCAGGGTGCTTCAAATCCGTGTATGCATGTTGGTCGCCGTTTATATTGAGTCATCACAAATAAGCTAACGCATCATGATAAGATCTTCACAATGAAACTAGTCCGTACCCCATTTTTCGGGGGCCAGTTCTTGTCTCTGACTCAGAATCGCAGTCAATATCCACAGCCATCTATGGGGCGCCATTCTATTCATTTACCTTCTACTAGACTTTAATTCCCAACACCGTCCGGGATTGACCTGGTATGACACAGCCGTGTTCTCCGTTTTTCTGTCTTCCGCTGTGTTCTGTCTGTCTGCGAGCGCGTTCTATCATACTGCAACTTGCCACTCCTTAAAGGTAGAACTGACTCATGTGATCCTGCACTGAGTTAATGCTCGCGTTTGCCTGCAGGTCTCTTCCTCATGTCACGCATTTGATTATTCTGGAATAGTCATCCTGACTGTCGGGTCTTTTTATCCGTCGCTTTACTATGGCTTTCATTGCCAGCCGTACCTTCGATTATTTTACATGCTGTCTATTACAACAGTTGGTTTTGGTGAGCAAAGCCACGACGATGTGATCAATACATCGAAAGCTTGATCTTGATCGTGCCCGCTAACTTGTTGTAATCATATAGGAGCTGCATATATCGTTCTCCACCCGGAATATGCCAAGCCGACCCACCGAGGAGCTCGAACAGCGGTGTTCATAGGTCTGGGGGTGTCCGCGGTCGTTCCGGTGTCCCACTTACTCTCAACACATGGATCTGTGCAATTATTGGTTGATATGGGTTTTGGATGGCTGCTTGCCTCGGGTGCCCTTTACATTATCGGCGCGTTGCTTTAGTATGTCACCTCATTGCTGCTCACATCTCCCCATAATTTCCGTCTTCTCATTTGACTAAGATGGGAATCCTAAATTTAACGATCTTAACTTTACAGCGCGAATCGCTTTCCAGAGCGCGTGGCTCCGGGTCGATTTGATTATTTTTTTGCATCGCATCAGATTTTCCATTTATGTGTCGTGTTCGCGGCATTGGCGCATTACCATGGGGCTTTAAGGGCCCTTGATTATGTGCTGACATCGACGATTCTCTGTTAACCCGCTCTTGTCCCTGTCTTTATCTCCAGATCATGTCTCCTCGTCGCCAACGGTGGAGCCCACCCGATCATGTGTCGAGGTACGTCCTCACTGTCGTTCTGTCGGAATATCTGATGTTAATGTCCAAATTTTCTCGGTCAGATGTCCCAGCGCCCAAAGGAGAACCATCGTTGTGCAGGACATGTTTACTCTAAAATAAAATCGGGTTTTTGAGTTCTTGTTCTGCTCTGTAGGGTGGATCCTCGTTCTCCTAAAAGTATATTCCTTCCGAAGGACAAAGCCAACGTGAGATTCTCGGGACCGTTATGGCGCATGATGCCCCTCATTGTGAAATGTTAGGGTCGAAACGATACGGCACGATCAGGTCTTAGGCAGCCCATCTGTCAGCCATCTCACACTTTCAAAGTGACAAGAAGTGTTATCACGACTCCGATGCATTTTGCAAGGAGAAGGCTTGATGGAAGAAGCCGAAATGCCGTGCCTAAATGAGCTGACAGAACCCCTCAGACAAGAATCCTGTTGTCGTCGCCGTCCAGATGACGCGAATCCATGTCCCGCCCTAGAAGAACGACAGTGATGGGATTACAGCCAATCCGTCACATCAGAACCCCAGTTTCCACGAACCGCGCGAATGTAGTAATCCGGGGCAGAATCGGTGGGCAAAGTTGCTTGAAACAGAACATGCTCAATTCTATGCGGTGTGTAATAAGATCGAGGATTCGAGGGGCAATGCTGACGGTTTTGCACGTGTGATCGTACGTGCCACCATTTGCTTCCAACCAGGTGGTCGGAGTCCTCCGTAACGCGGCGATACCGTTTCGGTCCCGGCCTTACCTCGCAGTTGGATCACCCTCAAACTGCCACATTCAGATCTGAAGGGACGTTGTGTGCCCTCGGGACCCGATCTCTTCTTCTTCCGCTTTGGTGCCAATGAAATGGGTTGGTCGATTTTATTCCCCGGCTATTGGGTGAATCTATAGATTCAGATTTTCGCAACTGCGGCCATGCTGTCCTGCTGTAAAGCTATAAAGGCTTACTGTATGTCTTAAATCCTCATATCGACTTCACCTGGTCTCTTCCCCTCTTCGGCTTGAGTTC